AATTTATTGTCAATCTGTTGCTACCTAAGTGGACAGTTTGATTTCACAGAAGTGTGATTGACTTGGAGTTACATTGTGTTGTTTACATTGTGTTCCCTTTATTTTTTTGAGCAGTGTATAAACTAAAACACAGTATTAGCTTTCTGAGATCTTTCTTGCCTCTGTCTTGCTGCATATTAAGGAAGAACTCTGATATTTTGGAATGCCAAGTCTCGATGCTGTGAGTTGGCCAGAATAGTTAGGTTGACTTATCTTTTTTGGTCAACCTGGGGTTGCAGTCAGCCTGGCAAGCTCCATTTCTCACCCAGCAGCAGATGGTGACTGTCAAGGGATGCTGGGAGGGGAGGAGCAGGGTGGTTGCCTCGGTGATTTCTCTATCTCCACAGCAACGGAAAGGTCACCCAGAAGGTCCCCCATGCTCTCCTTTCCTCAATGAAGCTCAGAGATCTGTTTAAACGTGAGTTAGGTGTATGGCTGTAATTAAGGCTCTGCTGAGGTGAGAGAGTATCCAGTGGATGAATGGGGTTTATATGTGAGTTTTCAAGCTATGTGGAATTTATTTGGGGGGGGGCACTTCTGAAAACTCTGGGCTCTTTTAAATGTTCATAATTGGAGTTATGCTTCATGCAAGTAAAATGAAATCTGAATTCACACTGCTTTATCCTCACACTGAGAATAATCTGTTGTTATTCATACGTCTGTGTCAAAATACAGGTAGTCCTTAACTTGCGACCACAGTTGACCTCTAAGTTTATGTTGCTAAGCGAGATGGTTAAGTGAGTTTTGCCCCATTTTATGACATTTCTTGCCACAGTTATTAGGTAAATCACTGCAGTCGTTAAGTTAGTAACACAGTTATTAAGTGAATCCGGTTTCCTGATTGAATTTGCTTGTCATGACACATTGTAAATATGAGTCAGTTGCCAAGCATCTGAATTTTGATCACGTGGCATGGGGGATGCTGCAACGCCTGTCAGTCACTTTTTTCAGTGCCATTATAACTTTGAACGGTCACTAAACGAACTGTTGTAAGTTGAGCACTACTTGTACATGTAAAATTAATTTACTTGTCTTGGGATTTGGTATGTTTCTGAGTCTATATTGTTCAAAGCTAACGTTCTGTCCGATACATAGCAGCTTCCATTTTATCACAAGAACAGCCCTGTATGCATGTTGAATGGGTTTATATAAAATTGGGTGAATATGAATTACAGTTTTGCTCAGTTTTTCCAGTCGAAATTTGTTCAACCTATAATCCATGTCATTTTATTATTTTAAAGAATACACAAATATTGTGTTAATGTTTGTGTACATTTCTCATAATGCGTTTAATATACTGTACTTGTATGTGAATTATGCACAAGTGATTTTTACATATATGGGTTTGTCTGAATTTTGTCTCTAAATTCATGCTTCTTTATACACATTTTGTTCTGTCACATAATTCTGAAAAAAAAAAGATGGATTTTGGCATTAGAACGTATATTTGTTTGGATTAAATAGCACTGAAATGCAATCCAAATTTCTTGGTTTCCAGAGCAACTACTTCTAGAGCAACTATATCTTAATTGTAAAGAAGTATATGTCTCAGGAATGAGTAGTGTGGGCCACTCTTCAAGCTGTTTTCTTCATATCATTGCTGGGAAAGTGACCAAAAAGAGTCTTTGAAATGCCAGGAATAAATATGCAATTATAGCATAATTTATCACATGCCAACAAGAATTGGTGACAATTCTTAGTGGCCATATAGATTTTCTCCATAGAGATCAGTCCCCAACCTGGTTCTTTAAGTCTTCCAATAGTGCATCCATTGCAGCTGAATTAAGTTCATACAACTTACTATTGATCATGTTTCTGCAATTGTCAGCTAAGCATTCCCAACACTAATTAAATAATCAGTACCAATAGCTATACCTGAATGGAGAAAATGAGTACCGCAACATGTGTGATATAGACATGATGGCACCTGCCATGGGTAGAACTAGTCTTTCTTGCTTACCAAGAGCTGCTAATGTTTTGGCATGTTGCTTCTTCTAGAAGAACAAAGGCAAGCCCTAGCTTTGTACTGTTGATTTAAATGAGGAAAAAGGGAAGGAGTGGAAAATTCATAACATCCATAAAAATGGAATGGGGAGGAAGGGAGAGAAACTGGAATCTTTGTCAGTGAAATGCATTGATTATAGAGAAAATTGATGAGCAGCACATGGAGCCCTCTAGTGACATTTGTTGGCTGGCTGAGAGAATATCTCTAGAATCTGCACTGCTGTTTTAAAGGATAATCCACCAATTGTTTTTGTTATGTTTAAATGGCATCTACCTCAGTCCCCGTGCGCTTTTCTGAAATTGATATGGTTTAAGAAAAAGCCATAACGGTCTTAGCGTTGGTTATTGAAATATGCACTAAAAACCCAACTGCAAAACATCCCTTTCTTGGAAGAACATGGTGGTTATAGGCAATAAAGATGAATGAATGTGACTTGATGAACTAATCAAATCTGTAGTAGATTACTGTTCCTATCTTTGGGGAGTTTTGTGAAGTTGCCAACTCTTGAGGTCTGTAATTATAAAATATTCTATTCTATCATGCTTTTCTAGAGTATAGGATGAATAGTAGCCTTTTGGAACTGAAGCCTTATATAATATGTTCCATATAAGTTTGCATTGGCAGGAATTCTCAAATCCAGGGTAAGCCCCTTATAGCACATGCTTTCCTTTTCTTCAATAAAAGAAAATTCAAATAAACCATATTTAGTATTCTTGGAGTCACTCCCCAATAGTTCACCCAACAGTGGTATTAACCTGCCTTTCATTGAGGGAAGATATTGTTCCAAAATGATCTTGAAACTTATCTCTGTTAAATGCTTTGATGGTACCAAATCATATGCCCATAAACAATTTCAGAAAGGTTAGAATATGAAAATAGACTCTACACTGAGGATTTTCATCATTGTGCTTAAGCTGCAACTGTCAGCAAGCAGAATCACATGTCTTGTAATCTTGTGCAGAATGAAACACCATCTATAAACTCGGAACAATCCAAGTAGAGTTACAGTAATCGTAGGTACAAATTGGATTATAATATGAGAGTTTCCTAACCCTGAGTACTAAAGGCTGCAATTTTTATACCCCACTAAGATCAAAAGGATCTAGGCAACCTTTCTTGTATATGTATCAATATGTATCTGAAATACATGAACTTACAATCCTGAAACATTTATTTGTCTCAGATAGTATGGATTATGTATTAAATCCTTTTGTCACCATTTATTTCTAGTTCCTGTGTTTATTTTTTGAGGAAACTAATGTATCTTCCAAAAAACATTATGCTGATAATTGTGAATGTATACATCAACATCACACAGAAACTGGTGTATATTGCCACAAATATTATCCTACGTTATGCTAGGGTTGCTTAATTTTGTTAGTTGGTCTCATTGATTTGAAGTACATGTCTGTGATATATTACTGTGTTTCTCCAAGAATACGCCCCCCCCCCCAATAGGAAGACCCAGCATGTTTTCTAGGCATAAAATGAAATTAAGCCCCTCCCCCAAATTTAGGCCTAGTTTAAAACATTCGAAATTGGGGGGGTGGGGCGGGGGGAACTTGCCATTAGGAGTGCCCCGCAGGCAGCTACGCCTCACCATCAGCCGCTCCTAACAGCCAATCATGGTGGAGTACAGAGGGCTCCCTTACCTCTCCCTTACCTGGGTCAGCAGGCGGGAGGCGTCAGTGTGGATGTCCGGCAGCATTTCAGCCGCTTCTCAGGCCTCCGTAGCTTCCACGGTTCCCACCGGTGCTGGCGCCTCTCTCCCCAGCGCCGTCTCCAACAACAGCATCTGAGTCACTCCCGCTTTTCCCCTGTCCCCGTAACAACAGGGAAAAAAAAACATTTTGAGGTACCTGGGAGCACCGCACGCTGCGTTTTGGTTTAATCCAGAGCGGCTGGGTGGGCATGAGAAGAGCCAAGCGAGCATCTCTGCTGCTGCTACCCTTGGTGCTCCAGCCTCGGGCTCTGCAAGTTTGCAAAAGTCCCGGTGCACAGCCCGTTCCTGCATTCCAAGGGCCCAGGCCGAGCTGCAACTGTCCCTCTCTCGCCAGCGCCGTCTCCAATAACAGCGGCAGCAGCGGCGGGAACCGTGGAAGCGTTTCAGCCACTTCTCGGGTGGGGGAGCCGCCTCCGTAACTTCCACGGTTCCTGCTGCTGCTGTTATTGGAGACGGCGCTGGCGAGAGAGGGACAGCTGCAGCTCGGCCTGGGCGCTTGGAATGCAGGAACGGGCTGTGCACTGGAACTTTTGCAAACTTGCAGAGCCCGAGGCTGGAGCACCAAGGGTAGCAGCAGCAAAGACGCTCGCTTGGTTCTTCTCACGCCCACCCAGCCGCTCGGGATTAAACCAAAACGCAGCGCGCGGCGCTCCCAGGTAACTCAAAATCTTTTTCTTTTCCCTGTTGTTACGGGGATGGGGGAAAAGTGGGAGCAACTCAGATGCTGTTGTTAGAGACGGCGCTGGTGCGGGGGGGGGGGGGGAATTAATTCACCCCCGAAAAGACGTCCTAGCCGTTTTTTCGGGGCTCAAAAAAAAATAAGGCCTGGCCTTATTTTGTGAGAAACACGGTACTACTTTTGGGTTGTACCATCTAACAAAAATCAAAATTGTTTATCTACAGTAGGTTTGGCTGAGCAGAAAAAAAAATTCTGCTTATTAATTGTAGATCTCAGTTAAAATTCCCGGAAGAATTATCAAGGCAATAGAGGAAAATGCTTCCTTTAAATATTAGATTTTTATCAGGTACAGTCCATCTTTACACGTAGTCGTTTGAAATGACATTAGTGGGCTACCTTAATAATTTAACTACTTCTATTAGGAACTTGAAGACATGAAACAGACCTGCAGGGTGAGTCTTAGCATGCCTGTAACTTCATAATGATATTCCACAAATGTTACATTTTTTCTAAGTAGCATTCATTAATCTATGGCCTTTTTTTCTCTCCTTCAGGCTGTTCCTCTAAGTCATTCAAGCTGTACTCTCCAAAGGAGCCCCCAAACGGCAACGCCTTCACCCCCTTTCACTCAGGCACTATGCTGGATCGAGATGTGGGGTAAGAGAAAAGTGCCTTTAGTGCAAAATTGGGATGTTCTTGATCAAAATCAATCAAATCTCAAACCTGCTTATGTTCAGCTGTGGGGCATAATCTTTATAGCCACTGAAGGGACTTTGAATTCCAGATCAGAAGAGATGAAAGACATGGGTTCTGACATCTGACAAACAGTATGTACCTTTTAGCCAACCTGGATATGGCCTGCAAGCTCTCTGCCCAGCTAACCAGACATTGTCAACCTAATTAGTGTAATGATTTGTGGAAAGCATTCCAACATTGATTACTTTGGAAATGAGGTGGTCATTATGGCTGCTAAGATACAGGAAATAAAACTGTTAAGGATACTGTTTTCTTCCCAATTGAATCAAAATCAAATACAAAACATTCCCCCATTCATATTTAATTTATATTTTTATATTTTTTTCAACTGGCAAAGTGTGCTTGATTTGTTTTTGAATTTAAAATTAGAGAAACACCGTGGGGGGGGGGAAAAAAAGACTATCCAGGATACAAAGCGGCTCTTTTTTTTCAAGATCCATTCTTGATTGGAAAGAGGCTAGGCCAACACTATTAATCATAGCAGAGACACTGAAGGTACTATTTTGTGCTGGTATAAATTTGTGATTATTTATATTCTGCTAGCATTCTTAGGAGCACAGTTTAAATATCAGTAGTCTGGAGCAATGGATTTCAAGTGGTAGGAAGTTCCAGGTCAGTTTGATTGTGTGTGATTGTTGGAAAAATGAGTCCACTTATGCAGTGATCCACTGACCTATAACATACTGCTCTTCAGTGATGAGGAACCTGAAGGTAAATGTGAGTCTTAAAATAGAGCAAACTTTCTTGCAGGAATTTTGGACAGAAATCCATCTCTGCAGTTCTTATAGCAGAGTTAACGACCTGAATATGATGTGGGCCATGAGAATTGCCTGCATGTAAAAAGGAGAAGGAAGAATAAGAATCAAAACTCCCAAGCAACTTCTTACCAGACAAAACATGCTATCAAACTCCTTGACAGAGCAGTGGGATCTCCATGGTGTAGGAATGGCCAGATTCATAAGGCTTGGATAACCGGTTTCTCTTGGATCAGTCTCCGGGGGAAGGGAATATAGTTTCCCTTTGGTATGATTGCACTACATTCACACCAAGTATTGATAAATGAAATGAAAATATGTCCTCCCTTCTGAAGAAGTTATCAAGTTGTGGTATTTTTAAACAAAACAGGAACTCTTTATCTGACTGCTTCCTTTTTTTTCACTGATCTTTAGTTTTCTTTTCTTTTAAAAAATGCCAAAATACAAGCAAAAGGACAAAAAAAAGTATTTTCCACAGATGTTCACTAAGATACGTCCCTGTTAAATCATTTCAAATATTCCAAGGCAAACTTTCTTTAATTATATTTTGGCTTCTTCCTCAATAATTCTCCATTGGTGTGAACTTTGTTGTAATACTTTTGGTTGTGAACTTTGCCAGTAATAGTTGAACTGATCTAATTGGGGTTGTAGCTTAAAAAGCCTTCATCTAGCCTGATGTACACATGTTTTGAGTACAGTATGAATTATCTACAGCACTCAGTGTGTTATAAGGTATGGTGATCATAATAATACCCCATAATAATAACACTTCAATACCTTTGAAGTCACAGGAGGAGTCTAAGCTAAGAAATAAAATCTGAAATGGGAGGTGGACATTGGTAAAACATGTTCTCTCCCGCTCCCCTTTTCCAAAGTTATTTGTCTGGGATACACTCTGCTTTGTAATGAAATGAATTGATGGGGTTTTGATTAATTAATCTTGTATGTGCTTATTTCTTTGTAGACCAACTCCTATGTATCCACCAACATACCTGGAGCCAGGGATTGGGTAAGATATCATATAAAGTCTGTGTGTATCCTTGTTCAACTTAATGCCCTCCAAATGTGTTGGTCCTACTGGGGGGGAGATAAAATTGAAAAAGCTTCTTATAATACTAACCAGAGTACAGCTAAATTATAATATTTCAAGTGTGATTAAAATGATTTTGTGATTATTATTTTCTTATTATTTATAAGAAATAAATACAGATAGCATCTTATTTATTGCTTTTTAATTAATAAAAAGAAAAACACAAAGATAATAATGATGAGGAAACATATTGTCAAAGATAAGAGGAAAAAAACAAAAAGTGTTTTAACAAAATGAAAGAAATATGACAAAGGAAACATAGTATGATATGATGTTACAACAATAAACCATTATAGTTCTATATATACTAGTCTGATGCAAATATTCAAGAATGTATGCATTTCATTTGAACAATTACCTTATTCTATACTGTATTCTGTATACAATAAGTTACATTGGGCTATATATGATAGATGATACGGTATTTGCCTCTTAACACAAAATATGTTAAAATTCATCTTCATCTCTTAGATGAAGTTAATATATCCACTTCCATCTGATTTTTATACCATCTTTCTCCAATTTTTAAAGTTGGTTGTTTCCAAAAAGTCAATTTGTTAGGCTATTAAAATTCCATAACTTTCCAACTGATATAATTGCTTCCAGAGATACATTGCAAGCAATTGTAAATGTAAGCCAATTGTCAAGTTCCTGAAATGCAGTCATATGACCATGCGGTGGGTGGTGTAGCAGTCATGATTTCTAGAACAGATCATTTTTCAAGCTCATGGTAACGTCAAATGATCATTAAGCAAACTGTCCTAAGTCAAAGACTACCTGTAATTTTCTGCAAGTTACAGAATTGGAATTGCAAAACCCCAGAAAAATCATTTAGAAATATTCTAAACAATTTATTTTCTAAAAATATTTTCTAGATATATATAAAGTGATTTCTTAATCTTTATAATCAGGATAGAAGAATTTAAAATTTCCCATGAAGTAATCAAATCCTATTAATATTCAAAAGCATCAGCATTTAGTGATTTGCACTCATGAGATAATCATTAGCACTTGTGTACAAAGCCCTGTTTAGAAGTTTCTAGAGGCTACAAACATGTTTAGCGAGAGTCCTGCCCTGTCCATACTAATTAGCTAATGCAGGTTCTGCTGTACTGCCTTAATTCATTTTAAAATGTTTTAGGTAATTCTCACTTAACTGCCCTATTTAGCACCGTTCAAAGTTACAATGATGCTGAAAAAGTAACTTTACAACTAGTCCTTGCAGTATGACTGTTGCTGCAGCAACTTTGTGATCATGTGATTGAGATTTGGGCACTTTACAAACAGCAGATATTTGTGACAGTTACAGTGTCCTGCAGTCATAGGATTGTCATTTTGTAGAGTCAGTGAAACCAATGGAGAAGCCAGCAATAAAATTGCAAATTACAATCACATGATGTCTCGCTTAACTACTGTGTGTGATTCACTTAATAACCACAGCAGAAATGTGGGTTATAAGTCCATTCTGGTCCCATTATATCTTGCTTAATTATTGTTGCTTAGCATCAAAGTTGCCAGTCCCAATTCAGTGAGGACTGTCTGTAGTCATCCTTTCAACTGTACTGAAACAATATAAAGTTATTTTTGACCTGTGTCATAGATTTCTAGCCTGTCATTTCATATGGCTCAATGTTGTAGGAATAAACTTCCTCTTCTGGATGGGCATAAATTACGCTGTTTTTTCCCTTGAGTAGGCTATAGGAGATGTATACAGTAAGTTCACTGTAATTATTTCTCATGTTGGTGAATCTCTCTTTCAGAACAAGCTCTAAGGGTAGCAAATTTTAAAGTTATTGTAGTTTCATCATCTAAGTGTTTTGTTACGTCCCAAAATTGGTTGGGCGATTCCTTTGCCTCTTCAAGAGATGGGCAAAACCTCACCACCCACATTTTTGCTATGCCATTATTGGGGACCAATGAAACTTCCCTTTAAGGACTCAAAGGGTTTCTAAAAGTGCTGCTCCAAGCATGAAAAAAAGTGGGATAAAGGCTCATTGCTCTCTAATTCTGGGTTTGGTGGCATCAAATTCTGCAAAATGGACTTCTCTCAATCTGCTGATCTTTTTTAACAGACCATTATGCTTCCAGAGCATCCTCTGATATCTCTTTCTACTTTGTTATTCAATGCACAAGTTGAACTTCTTTGGTTAGAAGACTTCTGTTTCTATCCGATTATACATCTCTTGGTCTTGCGATTTAGTAGTTTTCTCAAACAATAGAGGACCTGATATACAAAATGGTCCAAAATACTACTGTTTCATCAGTCCTTATTCTGATGCTTCTGTCTTATTGATGGGACTCCTGGTCTAAGATAGCCAGTATTTGCTTTCTTATCTAGTTCCAACTTTTTCAAACAGAAGTGATTTGTTTTGCCAAGCAGAAACTAAATACTCTTACTACTGTTGATTCTCTAGTCAAGATCATGTTTATGTTTCCTTTTTTTTTTTCATTATTATGTCTACTTCTGTTCCATTAGTCTTTCACTGGAGACTAAGATTAGAACTGAAGACCATCCATTTTGGAAATTGTCTATTCGGCAATAAGACTAATCCTGAATAGGGTCCAGAGTGTTTCATTCAGCAACCTGAAAGCTGTCTATAGCAACCAATTTTCATTTCTGTTCATTAACTTTTATGGTTCTGCTCTTGTTTGGTCTAAAGATAGAGGTTCAGGTTTTTCATATAGAAGGCCAAGCAGTCTATGATCAGTCCCTCTTGCCAGATACTGGAACTGTCAGTTTGATTATTTTTCGAATAATGTAAGTTCTGAACTGTTAATATGTGTTGTTCAAAGTTATAATACTGAGCTTTTTTACCCAACTCAACACCAAACTGCCCTCTTGATTTCAGAACAACTGGAATGGTATCAGAAGTTTCCTTGAAAGATGATATTATTAGATATATTTAAATAATAGGAAGACTGGTATTTGAATGGCATATTGTGACTTTGAATAACCAAAGAATGAAGGACTATGTCTTAGTATGAACATATATAATAATACTAGGATTAGCAATGGTGACTTGATTAGAAGCGAGAATAGAGGTAGAAATAAGAAATAGGAGGAATATTAGCAGATGTAATTTTTATATAACAGAATATAAGTAATAATTTGATGGAAAAGATCAGGTGGAAAGATGGTATGTATGTTTATAATGTCATTGGCATTAAAATGGAACATTGAAATAATTGAATAACTACTCTAAAACCCATGTATATTACTACTAGGATTATATGTTTAATTAATATAACAACTATTATGATTATCATTATTGATGTTTGTATCAAAATGAATTATACTTAGGAACCACAGTGTTCATGTATTGATATTGATGTATACCTAAAATAAAAATCTAATAAAACTTTAAAAAAAATTCCTGCAAAAATAAGCAGTTGGGAATACTTCTCCAAAAGAAAATATTTCCACACTCATGTCCAACTATTTTACATTAGTAAGGATAGTGAACTTAGACTTTATCACTTCACTTATCTTTTCAGGTATTTATTTTAGAATATTTATCACTTCCCTCCTCCTACAAAATGAAATGTGACCTTTTATAGACTGCAGGATGTTTATTTTCATGTTTTTGTAGTGTACTTACTTTTGTTTTAATTTACTACCATTTTGTAGTAAATTTGCCCTTTTATGGCCCTGAACATATTTTCTAAGTTAATGGAGTTATTATGCTTTCCTTTATCTGCAAGTTATCAGTCCATTCCCTTAAGTAGATGACTGTTATATACTCCTGTGCAAAGTTATCCTGCCGAGTCCTTCTCCCTTTCATCCTCTTGGTGTTCAGATCAGTTATGAAAAAGTTTCCTTCTTCCCTCATAGTTTATTCAATTTACAGGGGCAATGATTATGTTGTCAGAGAAATTGCCTTGATATCATTATCATGGGTTTGTAGGTTTAAAGCATGTATGCATAAGATCCTTTCTTTAGCAAAAAGAACCCACATTGTTCTTCAGCTCTTCACATGGCAGCTTGCATTCTTCATATGACAATCAACTTCAGTGTTTTGTTCTGCAACCTACATAAGTGCTCCCTGGAACTGTGGTAACTCCATTAAATTTCCCTGAATATGAATGTACGATAATTCTTGCTCCCCATTCCATCCTGGAATGTGGCTGTTTTCTTTTGACCGTAGCTATGACATCAGCTCAACAGGCTAAAAAATTGCACCCTACAAAGAAAACTCCCTTCTTCATTTTTTCATAGGATGAATATTGCCTAGATATTTCCTGCTGCCAAAACAGTTTCTGTTTTTTACTTTGACATAATTGTGCCCCCTTTCCCCCCCTCTAACGTCGCCGGAAACATTGCTCCATTTATTGGATGTCTGTTACACTTTTGTCTTTTACTTGGACTTTATGGCATCCTTTTGCCAGGTCCAAAGCTTAGGCTTTCTGCTCAAATGGGTGGTCGTAACCATCAAGGATTATTATGAGCTCTTATGCTGTCCTCAACAGCAAGACTGAGACAGGAAAGCTGTGTATAATTTGCCATTAACAGATGTCTCAGAACTTTGCTGGGCAGGGTGCATAGCCTCAAACTTCATCCCTTATTATAGAAATTTTGCTTCTAAAAGGATGCAGCCTTTATAGAGCTCTCCTCTTGGTCATCTTTGTGGGCCAAACCATGTTCCTAGTAAGGAGTTTGCTAATCAGCAATCTTTCTGAATCACAAGGACCATGATGAAGAAGAATGGGTACTTATTTGTGATTGCATTTCTTTGATTGGTCATCTATTAATTTGCCTGTTAATTTACCTCATAATCTCTGAGGTGATTTGGCTATTTCTTTACCCCACTGTGCTATTGTTAGGAACTGAAGCGGTTCAGTGTAGTTCCTCTAAATCAGTGGTTCCCAATCTTTTTTTCGCCCCGCACCCCTAAAGAAATTTCACTCGAACCTCACACCCCCTGAAATAAATAATAAATAAAAATGCCAACATATAGCCAATATCCTATTGTTTACCTGGACTTTTATCGCACCCCCTGGAATATCGTCTCGCACCCCCAGGGGGTGCGAGCACCCCAGGTTGGGAACCCCTGCTCTAAACGTTTCTGTAAGCTCCTGAAGGTTCTGTGAAGGTGCACAACCTAAGTGAGTGAATTCATAGATTACCTCTGAAAGAACTGTTCTTAAAGGTAAGTAACAAGTTTATTTCCTGTTCCATCTGCTTAATAATATTTTTCTTATCTTTCAGCAGAGCTACACATAAGAACCACATAAAAGTTTTTATTTAATTTTTTAAATTCAAATAAGATAAAATGTTTCAGGAAAATATGGTTTGAGATTACAATAGCATCTATGTGTCCCCCCCAAATAATAATAATAATAATAATAATAATAATAATAATAATAATAATAACAACAGCAACAACAACAACATTTTGCACACTCAAGTTTCTTGGATAAATGGCTTTTTTGTTAGGTAATTGCTATGGTTGTTTGACAGGAGACACACACCGTATGGAAACCAGACTGACTACAGAATATTTGAACTCAATAAGCGGCTGCAAAACTGGACAGAGGTATGTTACTGTGGCTTCTGGATGACTGAATTAGAAGAAAGGGAAAAGCTTTGGAGGGATACATAAAGCTGTTACGATTACACAAGAGAGGAAAGGACTGTGGCTATTAATCATCCTTGATTTTTATTTAACTTTTGAGAACTGATTTTACTTACTTTAATTTTTTTTGTATCATTTTCCATTAATAGATGTCTCAAAACATTTTATAATTTAAAATTACATTAATAATTAAAACAATAAGTAAAATTAATGAGCATGTATGTTAAATTAATTAATATTTCTTCATCTTCTATCTTCTATTTCTTCTATTCTTTCTATCTTCCTTCTCCTCCTCTCTTCTGTCATATGCAGCGGAACCTCGGGTCATGAACACTCCTGTCTGCAAACAAATCAGGTGGCGAACAAAATTGGTGCCATTTTTTTTGACGGCGCACATGTGCAGTTGGTCATGCTTCCAAATCAGGTCGTGACCGGAGTCCAGGAACAGATTACAGTTGCGACCCTGTAGTTGTGTCTGGAAGCGCAACCCACTGCGCATGCGCAGTCAAAAAAATGGCACCAAAGGGGAAATCGGCATGGAAAGGGAATCTTTCCGTGCCAATTTTTGTCACCCAATTTTTAAATCGTGATCTGATTCAAAAATCAGGTGGATTTTTCGTTCCCTACCCGATTTGGTCGCAAACAGGAGCATTCACGACCCGAGGTTCTACTGCACTGTGGGGTTAAGACACTCCTAACACCCCTCGGGGGTGTATGTGCCTTAAAATGCCTTCTGCCATGTTAACGGCTTCAAGAGCTCCCTCTTATGGAGGAATAGAAGAATTGTGATGCTGCACGACAGACAGTACAACAGCGTGAGTCCTGACTACAGGATTTCCCTGTCTAATACAGGATTGGGATAAATAAATACCCGGGCAACGCCAGGTTATCGGCTAGTGTTTTATAAAAACACATTAGAAAAATATAAAATAAACTCAGCAAGATAAATGACAAAACAATAATAGAAATGAAATGAAGCAATAAATAAATTTAAATGGCAGCCAAACTAAGAATGAGTAAGAGTCCTGGGAGAATAAAAATATTTTTGCTTATCACCGAAGAGGCAAATAAAGATGGCATCATGCATATCTCACCAGAGAAAGACATTTTAAAGTTTAAGGGTCACCACTGGAAAGAACCCCTCTTAATTAATGTACTTAATGTACCTCAATGAGAAAGCATTTGGAGCAGACCCTCCAAATATTGTTTTAAGCTACTGGTAATAAAATATGGAAAGAAGCCTCTTTCACAGTGTTGTTCCAAATGGCAAAACAAACCCTTTATAAGATAAAACCTACACTTCGACTTGAAACTGGAAGCAGATTGGAAACTACCTTTGTGTGTTTATAGTCAGTACTCAAGTCTCAACATTATGTATTAATTGAAATGTCTAAACAATCTCCAAGGGTATTGCAGTAATCTAAAGAAGGCATCACTAATAGATGGATTACTGCACTGAAACGAGCTGTATCCAATAGCATAAGTTGGCAAAAAATAATTTTGGCTGCAGTGGCCACTTCCTCCTGAAGCAACCAGGATAGATCCAGAAATACTCCCTAACTTTGAATTTAATCACTTATGTGGAATGCTCACCAATATGGAACAGTTGAATTCCACTCACTTGGAGAGACATGCCATTCATTAATAGCACCTCTGCCTTGCATTTGCTCTTCTCTGTGCCTACAGGAATGTGACAATCTGTGGTGGGATGCCTTCACCACTGAGTTTTTTGAGGATGATGCCATGTTAACAATCACCTTCTGTCTGGAAGATGGACCAAAGAGATACAGTGAGTCACTTAGTTCCATGTTTGTTCAATATACTATTGTCTGTCTTCATAAATCTTTTATGTATAAAGCTACAGGTGCTTATCTACCATCTTTTGGAGTAAATACTGAGGGAACAGATTCCATTCTGTAGCTGGGGTTTTCTATAGGGTTTTGCTGCCATTGAAGTCGATGCTATGACCTGTGGCTTTCATCGACTTCAATGGCACCAAAACCCTAGCCACTATAGAAAACCCCAGCTACAGAATTATCAGAGAAGCCATAGAGATTGAAAAAAGACCTGAAAGCATGAATAGAAGAGATGACTCCACCAGATTGTCAATTATCTGGAAGCCTGCACTCACAAACAAAAAAATCTCCACACCACAAGCCAGGCAAACACCTGGGCACAAACAGACTCCTCCTGATACCTCCAGCTCAAACACACCCCAACCAGCCACCCAGATGAAACCTAGCTTCCTAATAAACGATAGCTGAAACCAACCCGCACTAAAAAAACCCAATACACAAAACACAATGTTGCCAGCCAATCAAGACAAAAAAATGCTACAAAACAGACAGAAGATATTAGAAAGACCAATCAAGCAGAACACAGCAAACTCCAAGACCAATAAACACAGACCAAGACTCCCAACCAATCAGGATGAAGAAAAAAACATTGTAACACAGCACGAGGCTAGCACCAAATTTAAAACAAACGGCTGTGAAAGTCTGACTCACAGAAGAACACAATACACAAGCCTGATGATGGCAGATGAGATTCTGCTGAAACGTTGCTACAACTTTAAAAGCACAACTATAATGACGTGAGAAAATACCAATAAAGCTGAATACCATATATGTGTGTGTGTGTGTGTATACACACATATACACACACACACACACACACACATATATATATATATATATACACACACACACACATATATATGCACACACATATATATATATGTTTTCTTAAGTTTTCGCGGGTACTTACATACTAAAACGTTGTCATAATAAAAGCACAAATATTAAGACGTGGGAAAATACCCGAAGAAACCTAAATACCATACATACATACATACATACATACATACATACATACATGGGGCACAGTAGTCTAGCGGGTAAGACACTGGCTTTTTGAGTGGAAGGTTGGCAGTTCAAAACACAAGCACCATGTGACAGGGTAAGCTTCTGTTTTCCTAGCTTCTGTGAGTCTAAAAATTTGAAAGCATGCAAATACAAGTAGGTAAAGTAGATACTACTTCAGTGGGAAGGTAACAGCATTCTGTGCACCTTGCTGGCCACATGACCACAAAAGTGTCTTCAGATAACATTCCCAGCAAGCATTTAGCATTTATGATCTTGTATAGGAGTTGTGCTCCACATTGGATATATTTTTGAAATTACCATGAAGTTCCCAGTTAGAATACATTACCTTTGGGTGGACAAACGATTTTCAGGAATGATTTTCAAGAAGTTCCATCCACTTATTAGTATACATTTGTTATTCAAAGGGGATTTGTATTCTTACATAAAAATTATGTATCATTAATCACAATGCTGGAAGTCCAGTTTATATAAGGCTTCACATATTTTCCTTTACTCTCCACTTCTAAAAATCAGCATCTGATAAGATTTTCCTTTGGTATTTCTTCCAAAACGTGAGAAGTGATATTAAAAGGACGACTAGGGCGCTTGGAAAAACCATTAAATATATCCACAAATTGATATTGTTCCTATTCAGAATACTATACTTTGAATAAAATATTACTATGACAGATTTCTGGACTTAGGAGACATGCATAGACTCCTTCCACTTGTCATGTTCTAGAAAGTAGATGGAATATTTTAAAATGGAAAAATAAATTATATCTGTTTAGAACTTAAAGCTGTTGTGTTAGTGTGGAAGAAACACAGTTGAATAGTAGATTACATGTGTTGCATGCAGAAGCCTCAAGTTTAGCCCCAACATTCTATACCATAGTTAGGGCTAGGAAAAACCCCATCTGAAACCCTTGAAAGATGCTATAAGACAATGATAGGTCCAGGTCTAGATAGGTCCAGAAGCACCACTGAAGATAAAGTTATTTCTGAGATAGTTCTGTGCTACTCTCCATACTTTTTAAATTGGAGGAATCTAAAAGAAATATAATGAAGATGGGTAGGGAGCTTGGCAACATCAAGGAATGATCAACATTATTGCTTCTGAGCAATACATTGTTGGCAATACAATACAATACAACTGTTGGCAGTTCCGTTCATTGTTCATAATCTCCCAAAAATCCTTTTGCCAATCTATTCATGAATGTATGCTACATAGAATGACCAATAATTTGATTTTTATCACCCCTTTCTTCCTGATGTCTAGCAATCGGCCGTACCCTAATTCCTCGCTACTTCCGCAGTATCTTTGAGGGGGGCGCTACTGAGCTGTATTATGTTCTGAAGCACCCAAAGGAATCCTTCCATAACAACTTTGTTTCACTTGATTGTGATCAATGTACTATGGTCACTCAGCATGGCAAGCCCATGTTCACCCAGGTGAGAGTGCAGTGGTATTTCCCCAGCCCCAAGGCTTACCAAGAGGTACTTGTGTTTAATTACAATCTTCAGCATTCTTCACGTATGTAAAGAGATCCTCTGCTTGGAAAGAGTTGCTAGCTACAAATAGAATTAGAACAAAATTGTGTCACAGAATATTTCTAAATTTATTTTTCTTCTAAAAGAATTAATAAAAATGCAAGTACATATAGCACAATTTTAAAATTTAATTTAAATTCAGCACTATTTAGAAATGGGATAGGCAGGTATAGCCATTTTTTTAAGAAGTACCCTGTTTCTCCAACAATACGGCCTCCCCCAATAGGAAGTCCCAGCATGTTTTATAGGCATGAAATGAAATTAAGCCCCTCCCCCCAAATTAAGGCCTATATTAAAACATGCAAAATGGGGGGAATGGTGGGGGGGCTTGTCATTAGGAAGTACTTTTGTTGCACACCCGAATATGGTGCTGACTGCGTTGACCCCGATATGAAGTGCCCCACCAACACCGAGGTCAACATCCAAGCCGTCGCCGCCTGCCCGAAGATGCAAAGGGGGGGGGATTAAGTCACCCCCGAAAAGACAGCCTAGCCATTTTTTCGGGGCTCAAAAAAAAAATAAGACCCGGCCTTATTATATGAGAAACACGGTAGAAAAATGGTGCTTAGAAATTACATTTTAAAAACCAAGTGCTGCAAAACAAGGAATGGATGGACTTATATTTCATACAACCACATTAAAAACAAAATGTATAAATTAATGTTATTAATAATATGAATGCAAATATAAAAAGCCACAGAGCTAAAAACAGAATAAGGAAGAGATTGGGTGCAGGGGAGATACTAATTAATTAGTGGTCATCTCAAAATTTCACCAGTTCCCAGGAGTCCTCAGGCTTGTTGACCCAACTTAAACCTGAGGAACCTCAAGCTAAAAAGTATGAGACCAGATTTACTTCAGAAAGGAATTTTTCTGTGAGATAAAGCAATAATTATTTTAGAAACATAGTCTGAAATTATAATGGTGTCTATATCTCATGTTTTAATTTTAGATACCAAAAAATGAGAAATCAGGAAATAATCTAACAAAAGTCAGTTAAAAGTAAAGTATATGCCTGCTGGGAAAGACTAATAGAATGTTAGATACTCACGAAATGAATTTCAGGTGCAGCCTAATAAAATAGTATGATTCTGGAGATATAATTTGAGTAATGGGGTGCTATAATCTAAAAAGCGATCCAGAATTTGATGCTGTTATATTAGTCATAGACTTTATATACAAGTGTTGAAATAATTACTTAGAGAACACTCCCTTGAATCTCATAGCCCTTTGCATTCTGCTTGTCCAGGTATCTGTGGAGGGCCGCCTCTACTTGGAATTCATGTTTGATGACATGATGAGGATAAAGACATGGCACTTCAGTGTCCGGCAGCATCGGGAACTTATTCCCCGTAGCATCCTTGCTATGCATGTAAGTTCAGAGGTTAGTAATAGCCTCTGTTTAGGCTGGGTTTAAATATTTCTGAGAATGAGTCTTGACAAGTTGTTTCAGTTGTTTTGTGCCCATTCATAGTGTTGAGGGTTTTTCTGCTGCACCATTATTTTTTGAAATTTTCAACCTTCAGTTTCTATTTTGGTGTCCTAATATATTGTATCATTTTAAAAGATTAACCTCCCAGTGCACCAATGTACAGTTTATGTGTTGATGCAACATATTTTTGTTTAAATGTTTTATTTCTCCTTCTAACATTCTCTCTCCAGGCGCAAGATCCCCAGATGTTGGACCAATTGTCCAAAAATATTACTCGATGTGGACTTTCAAACTCCACACTCAACTACCTCCGAGTAAGTGCTTTTCTTCAGCACCTATGAAACTAAGAAATATATTCCTTGGTATTTCCTCCTTCGGACAGTAACAGAATTAAAAATGTCATTTGGATGATAATGTTTTCTATATTTTACACAGGGCTATTATAAGGGTTTTTTTGGGGGGGTAGACTGTTTTATTTTTGTGAGAATATATATGCTTCTATGCTTTAGGTGATTATTGGCAGATAATGTATATATAAAATACAATCATATTCTCACTAGTTACATTTTTATAGTAGTGGCAGTATCGAAAGCTATTAGGCACTTTTTTCTATATTACTATGATAGAATAAAGGCGTGTATAAATTCACTAGCAATGTATAGAAAACGGAAAATATGTTTTGCTTCAAATCTGAAAGGAGAAATTGTCTTCTGGAAGTTCTACCAAACCATTTTCGATGAACCATGACTGGTCAAAACAAAGTCTGCAGGAATCTCAAGAGTGGTTGTACAGGGCAACTAGGGTAAAGCTGGTGTACCTAACAAAATCAGAGAATCATAGGATTTGAAATGACTTTGGAGGCCTTGCAGCAGTTCAGCTTCCTACCCAAAGGAGGAATCCTCAAATCATCCCACCTAAATAGCTGTCCAGCTTTACTTGACAATCTCAGCAATGGAGCACCTGGGATTCTAGGACACAAGTTGTAATGGGATGTGGGAAAGACCCTGGGAACCCAAGCAAAGAGACTGTTGCCAAGGGAACGGTCAGATAAGAGACAGTCTAGCCTGCAATTGGATAATGGGCAGGGTAAGAGGCTCAGAAGAGGCTCACCCTAGTTTGTTGGGCTATAAAGGAGATGAGGGGAAGGAAAGATTCACCTGTTCCAGATGTGGAAAAGCTTGCACCTGAACTGTTTTCCACACTTCTACCCACACTAAGAGAAAGAAAGCATACAGGGAAAGTACATCTCATATGTTTTGCAAATCCAGATTTGACTAAACATATTTAGCATGAAAGTCAGTTTGCTGCATTATTTCTAGTAAAAGGTTCACAGGTGCTCCAGGCAAAACATTTTTAATATTTGATTTTGCTAGCAATCAAGAGAAGTGTGTAAATTCTAAAACTAATTGAAGCTCATGTATGGAAACTACTATCCAGCTTGATCGTAACCTACAAGTAATATCTAAGATTGAAGCTAGAGAGTCACCATCAGTCTCTCCTTAGCCTTGAAAGCCATTTGGGCGACTTTAAGCCAGCCGCTCTCAGCCCAGCCCACCTCACAGGGTTGTTGTGGGGAAAATAGGAGGAGGAAAATGTATTGGATATGTTCACCGCCTCATAAAAATAATAAAGATGGTTTAGAAATAAATACATGTATGTATATCTGTCTGTCTACCTAATTTATACATTGCTCATCTCACATGATTCTGGGTAATTTAGCCTTTTAAAACATACAGCCATATAAAAGAAACATAGGCAAAAACAAAGTTAAAAACAGAAGTAGAACAATTTTTTTTAAAAAAGATGGAGGAATGCTCTCAAGCAACCAACCATATCCAGGATTACCTGCCACTTTTAGATCCCCAGGCCAGTTGACAAACTGAGGTCTTAATGCTCTTCTGGAGCCTATAAGAGTGGGCACCTATGTCCCCTCTGGGGCAAGATATGGCAGGGTCAATGACAGAGAAGGCTCCCTTCCTGGACCCTGCCAATCAAAATTCTTTAATGAATGGTGTGTGCAACCTACTCTTCTGTCTAACTGGGTGGACAGGTTACATTGACCATGCCATGAAGAGCTTTAGAGGGAATATCAGCACCTTGAATTGTACCCAGAAGCAAACAGGCATCCTATGCAGTTCAAATAATAGAGGCATCGTATGCACAACTCCAGGGGTGCCCAAAACTAACCACACCACCACCTTCTGTGCCAGCTGCAGCTCACAGGGACTCTTCAAGGGTAGCCTCATGTAGAGCACATTGTAGTAATGTATATGGGAGATGACTACAGCATAAGGAACTTTTTCAATTCAGGAAGGGACATAACTAGTTTACAACACAACGTTGATTAAAGGCCCTCCTAGCCATGGCTGTCCACTACTACTCAAGCAGGATTCATTAATCCAGCAGGGCCTTTAGATCACGCAATTGTTTGGTCTGGGGCAGTGCAACCCCATCCAGGATCAAGGATGGCAAGTACTAGAATAAAGAGGACCTCCCACCGACAGCCACTCTGCCTTACCAGGATTCAATTGAAGCCAGTTGTTCCCATCCAGACCTCCAAAATCTCCAGGCACTGCAAAAGGGCATCCACAGTATCACCCATCCACTATACAACTGGATATCATCTGCATACTGATGATAGTACAGTCCATGGCGACAGATGAACTCACCCATGGCTTTGTATAGATATTAAAAAGGAGCGGAGAGAACACGGAGACGCTCCATGTGTGGTGGGTGGGCTGAACCTCTTGCTGCTGATCAACATTGATTGGCCTCCGAGAAAGGTGAATGTTCTTTATTTTTGAACAATATTCTTTATTGTCCTTTACTGATGCACTTTATCATTCTTTATTGTACGTCCCAGGTATCTGGCACTAAGAAATTAATTAGTTTTGTCAGAATGTGTCCATATCTGGCCAGGTTTAGATCAATGCCTAGAAACCTATCTATGGTTCCAGGAGGATTCCATCTGGGTTTGTCCTCTACTACAGAATTTATTTTTCCTCTTCTTCCCACCAGCTGTGCGTAATCCTAGAACCAATGCAGGAGTTGATGTCTCGACACAAGACCTACAGTCTCAGTCCTCGGGATTGCCTCAAGACGTGCTTATTCCAGAAGTGGCAACGTATGGTGGCGCCACCTGGTGAGACTTTTGAGCAGTAGGGAAGTCTATCCTGTGCACTGACCACTAAATCAGATGTATTTCTTAGCAAGCCCACTTGAGGGCAGCAGGGCATTGGCTTCCTGCAGCTGGAATGCCTCAGAACTTGGATGAGTGCTAAAAATCCTATCTCTGAAAGTAACACAAGGTGTAAAAATGAAAGTGGAAGTTAGTGTGGCAATATAGAAATATATAGATAGTTTGAATCAGACGGTATATAAATTTATGAATAAATAATGGGAAGTATTTATTCATTATCCAGGTCTTGCTTGGAACATGCAAATTTACAATTGGACTGTGTTGAAACAATGGAACATTAGATTTTTTTTTTACTAAAGGCAACTTATCTCACCAAATGTTATTTCTCAAACACCTTCATAGCTGAACCTGCACGTCAGCAGCCTAGTAAGCGCCGGAAAAGGAAGATGTCTGGAGGTAGCACCATGAGTTCCGGCGGAGGCAATACCAACAATAGCAACAGCAAAAAGAAGAGTCCAGCCAGCACCTTTGCCCTCTCCAGTCAGGTACCTGTAAGCATCCCCTTTTCATTTTTTCTTTTCCTTTTAACCTGAGGATTCCTTGGCCTGGGCCCGTGTTTCATGCAGCTGAAGCTCTGCCCCAAAGGATAGGTGATGCTGGTAGAATTCAGGCTTCTAGGAGTCCTCTCAAGCCAGATTCAGGGAAACACACCAACAGTTAAGGAATAAGGTCATGCCTGAGCATGTAAGCCAGCCAGAATTGATCTCCCAGTCCTTTTATCCAGAAATCCATTCCCAGTTTTCTCTCAGGTGTTCTTTTTCAGCAACCTGGTTTAAAAAGGGAAAGCAGCTTAGTTGTTGCTCTTAAATGAATGTCAGGAATCCTTGTTAATCTACAATAGATGTCCCAAATATATTTATCTTGATTATCCCCACCCTGTCTTATAACGTAAAAAGGATTAATGTAATCCCTTAGTGTAGCTGTTCATTTGAAGGCTGTGTGACAGAGCTGTCAAACTCCTGGCCTGCAGGCTGGATGCGTCACGTGTTGGCCATGCCCAGGCTTGGTTTAGCGAAGGGGGAAAAAGTCCTGATAGGTCCCGTGATGACATGAGTTTGACATCCCTGCTCTATATAGACCCTGTTAGGGCCAGAGTCTCATTTTTTTGTGACTAGGAAGAATTCAGACTTCTTCCTCTTACAGTAGATATAATAGGCTTTGAACCATTCAGGTGGGAACTGAGAGGAGACTGTGATTCGCCAATATCCCAGGGTATCCATTGATTTGTCAGATGCTGTCCGTGCCCAGATACAGTAGAAACTGATAGCAACATTATTCTAAGTCCAGAGAGGGGCAATGTTCAAAGGGAATATTGAGACCTTCCCAAATAAAGTGCCTTCTAGATGTTCTGTGCCACTCCTAGTTGTTGAGTCTCAACACATCTGAAAGGTGCCAGATTAGGGAAGGGTGAGTCAAGGCTGAGGCTAATTTTGATTCCTCATTCTAGGAGGGTGGGGGAGAAGTCCTTGTTGTTGTGACAGCTGGCTCCCTTGAACATTGTGATATGGATCAGGGCAGTCTCCACCTCGATTATGTTTCGGGACCCTCTTCCCTCCTCAGGATGTGATGGTGGTGGGCGAGCCAACCCTGATGGGTGGGGAGTTTGGTGACGAAGATGAGCGCCTTATCACTCGGCTGGAGAACACACAGTTTGACGCTGCCAATGGCATTGATGATGAGGACAGCTTCAACAACTCTCCTGCATTGGGTGCCAACAGTCCCTGGAACAGCAAGCCCCCTTCCAGTCAGGAGAGCAAGTCTGAGAATCCGACGTCGCAAGCATCACAATAAAGCCCCCAAAACAGTGCCCAGCCAGGCCTATGCGTGACTTGGCTGGTGCTCCACGGACTGAGTCGAAACCATTCTACCTGGACAATTGTGAAGAAGAGTGGCTGGCCAACAAGGTATCAAGGTCTATGAGCACTGCAGCGCCTGCCTGTCTACAGTTAACCTGGCCACGATTCCCTGCTGTCTGCACTCTTGGTTGTCTCCTTTAGGGCAGAATTGGAACAGTGGGCTTTTAGTCCCAGCAGAATTTTAATTCCTTCTCCTTCCCCGTCCATGCATCCAGCGCCCTGGATACCACAAGCAACACTGTTAGGGAGTGGTATTCATAGCAGACCCTTAGAGCCTCAAGTCCATTTGGTGGATCAGCATGAAGTACCTTGGGAAGAGGCCACAGGACTGATTACTTAAGATGGGCAGGAAAAATCTGGTCTAAGGCGCCTTTTATCATTCAGTTTCCTATAAGGGGCATCAAGAAGGCTCCATTTTAGCAGGAGAGTCTCAGAGTTTTGTGGACAATGTCATGACTCAACGTTGGGGCAGCTATGATTTTTGTGGGTTGAATTTTAAGCAGTTCATCTTGACTGTCTTAGAGATGGCAGAGCAGTAATTCTGTTTTGCCTGAAGATCCCAGAAAGCCAATATGGCAGGAGATTATGTAGGGTTTTAAATTTTCTGGAATACATTAGAAAAATATTCTGCAGTTATCTGGAAGGGAACTTGACCTTTTGGTCAATCTTTAGGCGTGGGCTGTTTTGCCCCAACCTGCTCTTAAAGGAAATTGCAGTCCTCATACATACCCTGCCCTCAGTATTTTGGGCTTTTTTAAAGAAATAAAATAAAATTGTAAGTTTTAAAAAAAATATGCCCTCCCTCCCTATTTCCCCCAATCCTGATTTTTGTACAGGCTTGTCTACTAATTGGGAGTCTTAGTTTTTGTATACAGTTCTGAGAGCTTCAAACCAAGGAGAGACTTTGCAAACTTCCTTTATACACTCCTTTGAGGACAGCATGGCTGCCTCCACTCCCCCCACCCCCTGGTGTAATTTGTGTGTGCTTCTGTTCCTGCTCCACCCTCCTCTACCATATCCCTCCCCTTTTCAAATTTGTGTACCTTGTGCTTGTATATTTCTGCGCTGTATGCTGTGTGTATGATGCTGTTCTTTCACTGTGTTCTCACTAAGGCTGCCACTCCCATTACCATTGGTAGTGGGGGAGGAGTTGATTGTGATGGGTGTCCTTCTTGGGAGGCAGTAGAGTTCAGAGGGTACTGTCACCAATTTACAGCAGTGCAGAACCACAGGAATGGGGCTGTGGCATCTGGGGAAGCAATATATCCATGTTTTGCAAAGAGAATATAATTATTTCTTCTCTTTATGGAACAGTCTCTAGGAAACCATTGCCCAGCCAGACACATTCATTTTTATTTGAAATACTGGTACTAAATCCCCAAGGAAACAAACCCATCTACTTTCCTTTCTAACTTCCAATGTTCTTCCTTAAAGCCTAGGTTTATCCTGTACATCTTGGGCAAAAAAAAAATGCTTTATTAGTCACAGAGGCCTCAAAAGTTGCCACAAGCGAGGCATGGTTTTTCACTTTTGAGAAGAGTGCAAAATACCTTGAAGATATTTTGGCCACCTGATGACCTAGACCACGGGTGTCAAACTCCACCGCGTCATGTGCTGTAGCACGATGTTTTTGGCCTTTGTGAAGCCAGGGTGGGCGTGGCCTGCCCATGATGCATCCGGCCCACAGGCTAGCACTTTGATACCCCTGGCCTAGACCGATTGTGAGGGTGATTGCAAAGGCTGCACTGTCATGGCACAATACTCTTTTTACCTTGCTTTAGGGCAGGGGTGTCCAACCTTGGCAACTGTAAGACTTGTGGACTTCAACTCCCAGAATTCCTCAGCCAGCAAAGCTGGCTGACGAATTCTGGGAGTTGAAGTCCACAAGTCTTACAGTTGCCAAGGTTGGACACCCCTGCTTTAGGGTATTTCTTCAAGAGGATTTCTACCTGCAAAGATTCCCCCCCCTCCCCCGCTTTGCAGCATTATTGTCATCAGTTTGCCTAGAGCTGCTAGTTTCGTCTAGTGCTATGAGAAGAATTTCCTTTCAAGTCATGCTCTGGAATCCTAGATATTCTCTACTCTGATGGAACCCAGTTGGATGAACCTGAGATATATTCATGGCAGTTTGGTCACTTTTGTATTACTGGGCCCAGGTCCTCCCCTGCCGGCAGGTAATTATAGCAGCTAGTAGTGTAAATTACAAGGGATTGGTTTTTTTCCCCCCATATCTGTTTCCTACTTCAAAATAAGAGTATCACATTTCTCTACTGCTGTGGCTCAGCATGTAGTGACGACGTGTACTCTATCACCTCTCTCCACCTTGTCCCTTTCCACTTCCCTGGGGCACTGTAAAGCTTTTTTTTTTTTTTTTGCATAGTTTGTGCCATTTATGGTCATGTATGGTACCAATAAAACAACTTTTCGGTTTGGTGCTCTCCTTCCAGTTTCATTTCTCATCTGGATATTGAGAAACGGGAAATCTGTTCTTACATGCAGGTTCTAGTCATCAGAATTCTGTGATTTAGGCTGAGGTAAACAGCTGATACGATGGAATTCGAGGGCTAACACTTGTTCTCTGCTGCCAGCATTTCCCAGTTTTAAATTTTCCAGTTTCCTTTCTAAATAACTGCGTGCTGATATAAAGCATTCTGGAATCTGTGCACCAAGCAACTGAGAAATCTCGAGTACATCTAAAGATAACAGAAAAATTTCTGCAGCTGAAGAACAAGTGTTCTTGTGTTGAAAGGGGAAAGAAATATCACAGAGAAGCCTGAGCCATGCCTTTCCTACATTAGCAGGCAGCCAGGCAGTTTGCAATCCAAATACGGTTGTATTGTCAACCTTTGATTAACAGAAAATAGAGCAAACAAGTTTGATAGAAAGCATGGAAAATGAGCTGGTTTGATAGTTGGAACATTTTATCTCCAACAGTGGAGTCCCTTTATTATTAATTCAATCTACAATCACCCCTGTCACATTGGGTAAGGAGGTGGGGAGAAAAGCTAGCCATGTGCCTAGTATTGGCAATGCATGAAAAGAGAAAGAATGATACCTGAAATATTTCTGCCTCACTAGCCAAGGGAACTTTAGCGTTATATTTAGCCTGCATCTTCCCTTCCTCCATTTTGTAAGATGTTAATACCTGTGTCTTTCAAAACTATTGTAATCTTATGCCATATTTCATTCTTTGAACCAAACTTTGCAACATTAAAGAGACACAAGGCTTTGGCTACTCTTTTGCTTCTTCTCTCCATGTAATTTTTTTTTAAATGTGGGAAATATATTTTAGGAAGCAATTAACAACTTCTGTATATAGCCTTTTTACTACTTAAGCCCAATTCCTGAACCCATCATAAACTTTTAAACAACAGAGGAACAAATGTGCTTCCAGAAACTTGACACATTTCATCTTAAACATTTAGCTGATAGAGCTACGGTCACATCCCAATAATTTTCCTACCAGAATGATTCTTGTGGAAATAGAAAATGTATCTCTGATATTCTGATATGAGTTGGATTCTTAGCCTTATCTTCTGTCCCATTAGTAGAAATGGTAGGCTTAGCAGTAGAAAAAAGCTGTCATTGGTGGAGATTATGTCCATATGGCTGAGGAGGCAAGGAGACAACTTTTATTTTTGTTATTAAACTTGAATAATATAACAGTAAGATTGATAACATTAAATGGGGCTAAAGAGGAATGCAAAGTAAGTTTAAAAATGTCAGTTCAAATTGTTCCTAGTAAGGTTTTGGAGGGACAAAATTTGGTAATATCGTAAAACAGAGCATCACTCCATAATAAGTTTGTGATGACTAAGGTTGGCAATAAAGAAGAACAGAGAATTGCTGTATAGAGGATACCACCATATTTCTAATAAAAGCATTTTATTTTCCCCAAAAAGCAGAAGAACAAGTGTACCGATCAGTCATTAAACAAACATAGCTAAAAGAGCTTGGATAAGAGGTTTAAGGCAGAATCAAGCCTTACAGAATCAAGCCTTGCTCATGTTTTAAAGCAATATCAAGAACATTATCTGTTACAACCAAAACAAAAAAAACAAAACACAGAAGAAAAGGCCAACTCACTTCCATATTTAAGTAAATTTGCCTCTTAAGTTATGAGGAGCTGAGTTTGACTAGGAGCCTTAACTGTTTAAAGGATGTCTTTTGAAGCCTATGCATTGCTCAAGGCACCCATTCCATCCTACAAAGCCCACAAATGCCAAAAGGGATGTATGTGTGTCCAAAAAAATTCACTAAAAAATTCTGTTATGAATTCCCTCAACCAGTCTTAAGTACTGAGACATGGAAAACAGACAGCCTTGCGTTGTAAAGTGATCAGATACTGTACATGATTTTTTTTAAAAAAAACTATCATTGTGGTATGCTGGTGACACATAAATTTGGTATGGATTATAAGGGAGAACATTTTAATTGTGGGCCATTTACATCACTAATAAACTATATGCTCATAATCTGTTTTATTACTGCATGGATAGACACACATCCTTTAAAATAACATTGAATTTTACTCCATTGTGATTTAACTACCATTGAAATCTTGAATACCAGCATATTTTAGTTTTTGTACTTGAAAAACTCAAGTGCCATCTATTATTTAAAGAGATAAAATCAATGTTGGAAAACAAAGGTAATCCACTATCGTAGCAACTTCTTGCCCTGTATAATAATCTACTTCTACTGTATATTGTCCCTGGCAGATTACCATCTTGCCTCTCTTTAAACATCTTCGCAAAGGAGACCACCTGCTTGACAACTATTACTCTTAAAGTTTTCATTTACATCCAACAAAAAATACTTCCCTGTAATTAACTCATTGTTTTTTGTCCTTAGTGCTGCAACAACTTTGAACATTTTTACCCAATGTGTTTTAGTAACTCCAGATACTACTATAAGAAAACTATTATGTCTCCTTGAAATGTTCTGCAAACCAAACATACCCAGGGCCTCTAACTGTTCATCTTTTTTATTTCCAGACTTCATCTTCATTTCCTCTGAATATAACTCTAGTTTGTCAGTATTATCCTGAAATATGCCCTGAACTGGATTTCTGTTAATCTTGACATTATATTCTGTTGGTACAGGGTAGGATTGTATTTACTCTTTCTCCAATTGCATCACCCTGTTGGTTCATGTTCAGCTTATGATCCACCATTTATTGGTATGTATTTTCTTCCCCTATGTCAGCCAAAAGTTGGTGCTAAAATGGCTTCCTGAGCTGGGATATCTTCATGAACACCAAGAAAGAAATTGAATAAATAACAATTGGGATGTATTTTGAGTCATGTATGCATGTAAGGAATGTCTCTTACAAACGAGCATTTGTTGATAGTCTGCTGCATAATACAAAAGTGACAATTTGTCACTTTCCTGTGACTATTACAAAGAAAAAAACGTATCAACAGTCTTGTCCTAATAGTGCAGACAACTGGAACATTATGTTTCCATTTAATAAGTTGGTAAACTTAATTATAATATATATATATCTATCTCTCTTTTTGCATTTAAGAATTCCAGAATACATGTACAATGGGGAGGAATAGAATGTGTTTTGTGTATTATGAACCCAACACCTTAATGTTTATGTAATATATTTCAATGCAATACTAGACAAAGTCACCGTATCAAGGAATGGCTCCCAAAGAAAGAATAAATTCCATATCAAAGCCAGAACAGTGTGGCCCTACCCACTTCCATCTGCTTATTGTAAATTTGCTTCCTACATCTGTTCTTATGCATTGCTAATCTCCACAAAGGTGTTCCTGTCAGCCGCACCCATTGTAAAAATAAATCAGTTTCCCGTAGAATAAGAACTTGTTCAAGAATTCCAAATCTAAGAATAGAAAAATGGCACTTGCTTTTTCTTTTTAAAAAACATTTAACCTATATGCAGGGATACAGATTGTTTTACAAGTTGTGAATAACTCTTGAGTTCTGAGATAAGATAGTGAAGGTTGCATATCTACAATTAGGCATGTCTACTTAAAAGGCTTTTAAAGATTTTGGCAAAGATTAAAAATGGATCTCCACACCCACAAAATAAATGAGTTCACATATGTGCTTAAGCAAAATGAGAAATCCAAGTGCTTCACTTTATCTCTTGAGGGGGGCAATGATGAAACAAATTTGGTACAGCCAGAGATGTCTAGTTTCTAAATTACAGCATTGTAGAACTTACACTCTGTGTGTGTGTGTGTGTGTGTATATCCCTATCACCTTACAATGGCAGGAAATCATACTGCTGATTTTTAGCATAGCAAAAATAGGAGTGGTGAGCCACAAGTGGCTCTGGGGCCTCAGATTACCCACCCCTATTCTAAATTGTAATTTACCTTTTTTTGGCTTTGATTTAGCATATTGTGCTTTTTCCTAGTGTGATGTTTTAGCTTAATATAAACCCAGTCATTGTAATTTACTCCACAGGACACAGGGTTCTTTCAAGGAACGGCATTAACATACAGTCCTCCAGCAATTGAGTCACCAGAAAAGTATGGCTGGCATAAATTATTCTGCCCAGACTGCCAAGCCTTGTTTATGTCTTCATAGTAAGACTGCTGAGTGGCACTGTCCTTTAGGCTTGTAAGGACATTTACAAGATTCTCCAGCTTTGTTCCATTTCATGATGAGCAACACTTAGTAGGAATAACAATCACTCAGTATGGTGAGAAGGGGTTGGGTGGAAGGCAGGCTTCCTTAAGGTGGAGGTTTAGCCACCTTGAAGCTACCCAAGGGACTGGTTCAGGTCAGGTGG